TGTTAACACGGTGTATCACATTAATTGATTTGCGGATATTGTATCAACCTTGCATCCCAGGAATAAGTCCAACTTGATCTGGTGTATGATATTCTTAACGTATTGCTGAATTAGGTTTGCTAATATTTTGTTGAGGATTTTCGCATCAATATTCATAAGAGATAGCAGCCTATAGTTTTCTTTTTTTGTAACGTCATCTGGTTTGGGAATCAAGGTAATGATGGCCTCATAAAAGGAGTTAGGGAACGTTCCCTCTTCTTAAATTTTCTGGAAGAAAATTGAGAAGAATAGATTCTTTGAATGTTTGGTCAAAATTCACCTCTGAAGCCACCTGGTCCAGGACTTTTGTTTTTTGGGAGTTTTTTGATTACCGATTGTATTTTGTTGGTGGTAATCGATCGGTTCAGATTCTTTGTTTCTTGACTCGATCTTGGGAGATTGTGTGTTTCTAGGAATATACCCATTTTTTCCAGATTGTCCAATTTCTTGGCATATAATTATATAATTGCTTGTAGTATTTTCTTATGATCCTTGGTATTTCTGTGGAGTCCATAGTTACTTCTCTTCTTTCATTTCAGATTTTATCTATTTGAGTCCCCTCTCTTCTTTCCTTGATGAGTCTGGTTAAGGGCTTATCCTTTCAAAGAATGAGGTCTTGGTTTCATTAATCTTTTGTGTTGTTTTTCTAGACTATTTCATTTATTTCTGCTCTAATCTTTATTATTTCCTTCCTTTTACTCACTTTGGGCTTTATTTGCTGTTCTTTTTCTAGTTCTTTCAAGTGTAAGGTTAGATTGTTTATTTGAGTTTTTCTTGTTTCTTGAGGTAGGCCTGTATTGCTGTGAATTTCCATCTTAGGACTGCTTTCGATATGTCCCATAGATTTTGAGTCATATTTTCATTTTCATTTGTCTCTAGGTATCTTTTGATTTCTTCCTTGATCTCATTGTTAACCAATTCATTGTTTAGTAGAATGTTATTTAGCTTCCATGTGTTTGTGTATTTTCCAGTTTTTTTCCTTGTTTTATACCATTGTAATCAAAGAAGACAGTCAATGTGATTTCAGTCTTATTACATTTATTAATATTTGTGTTGTGGCCTAACATGTGGTCTGTCTTGGAAAATGTTCTGTGTACACTTGAGAAGAATGTATATTTTGCTGCTTTGGAGTGAAATGCTCTGAAAATACCTATTAAATCAATCTGTGTGTCTTTTAGGCCCATTGTTTCCTTGTTTATTTTCTGTCTGGAATATCTGTTCATATGGGTCAATGGGGTGTTAAAGTCTCCTACTATGAGAGTATTTACTGTTGATCTCTCCTTTTATGTCTGTCAGTAATTGCCTTATGTTTGTAGGCGTTCCTATGTTGAGTGCACATATATTTACTAGGGTTATATCCTTGATGTATCGATCCCTTGATCATTATGTAATGCCCTTCTTTGTCTTTTATATAGCCTTTGTTTTAAAGTCTTTTTTGTCTAATATAAGTATTGCTACCCCAGCTTCCCCCCGCCCCCCCCACCGCCCCTCCTATTTGCATGAAATATCTTCTTCTATCTCTTTATTTTCAGCCTTTGTCATTTGATCTGAAGTGGGTATCTTATAGACAGCATGTGCATGGGTCTTGTTTTCTTATCTATTCGGCTACCCTATGTCTTTTGATTGGAGCACTTAATCCATTTACATATAAAGTGATTATTGATAAGTACATAGTTACTGCCATTTTATTATTTGTATTTCTTTTCACCCCCTTCTTTTCTTTTTTTTTTAACAGAAGTCTCTTTAACATTTCTTGTAATACTGGATTGTTGGTGATGAATTCTTTAAGCTTTTCCCTGCCTGGGAAACTCTTTATCTCACCTTCTATTTTAATTTAAAGCCTTACTGTGTAGAGTATTCGTGGTCGTAGATTTCTGTTTTTCATAACTTTGAACATTTATTGCCAGTCCCTTCTGGCCTACAAAATTTCCATTGAAAAATCAGCATTCTTATAGGGGTACCCTTGTAAGTAACTGACTTCCTTTCTCTGGCTGCTTTTAAGGTTCTTTCTTTATCTTTGACCTTTGTCATTTTAACTATGATGTGTCTTGGTATGGGACTGTTTGAATTCCTCTTGTTTGAGCAAGTCCCTTGCTCTGTCTCACTCTCTCTCTTCTCCTTCTGGTACTCCTATGATGCAGATACTGTTATTCTTCATGTTGTCCCAGAGATCTCTTAAATTATCTTCTTTTTATTTCTTTCTTCTGTTCCGATTGGGTGTTTTCTGCTACCTTGTATTCGAGGTCGCTGATTCGATCTTCTGCTTCGTCCAATTAACTGCTGAATCTTTCTAGTATATTCTTCGTTTTAGTTATCATATTCTTCATTTCTGTGTGGTTTTTTTTATGGTTTCTATGTCCTTTTTTACTCTTACTCTCTCTCTGTTGAGGTTCTCATTGAGCTCATCCGTTCTCCCTCTAAATCATTAAGCATTCTTACAACCACTATTCTGAATTCTGTCTCTGGTAGGCTGCTTGCCTTCATTTCAGTTAGCTTATTTTCTGGAGTTTTCGCCTGTTGTTTCATTTGTGGCATGTTTCTTTCCTTTCTCATTTTATTAGCTTCTCTGTGTTAGGAAGATTTGTTTCATCTCTCAGCCTTGGCCAGATGGCCTTATGTGGAAGGTGTCACGTATGGCCCAGTGGCGCACTCTCCCTGATCCCCTATGCCGGAGTCTCTGGACATGATCTTTGTGTGGGTTGTGTATTATCTTCTGTAGTAGCTAAGCCTGTACTGGTGTTAGTACATAAGTGAATGAGATTAATGCTAGGGCTGGATGACTTTGGGAATTGGCTGTGCCCACAGGGATGAGCTATGTGGGGGCTGACCCCACTGAGTGGGATTTGCCCTAGCAGACTTGTGTACTTATTGAGACCACCCTTTGTGCGTACCACTTCTGAGACTAGTCTGGAGTTGCTGTGTTTTGGTCCAGTGCCAGCTTCCAGGTGCATTGGTTTACTGGGAGGGGCTCCCCAGTAGGCCAAAGTTAGCTGCTGCCTTTGATTGCTCAGGGATACCTGGTGAGAGCTACAAAGCAATCCGCAGATGGTTGCTGCCTATGCTAGATCTATAGACAAGTGGAAGAGACAGTGCTGCAGGCCACAGTCTGGTTACCCTGATTACCGGGCCTAGGGCATTTTTTGCAGAAGAACCAGAGCTCCTCAAGGCCTGAGACTGCCTGTCATTTGCCCGTAAGACTCCACAACTGGAAGAGCCTCTGGGTGATATGTGCATTGGGTGCATTGGGTGCAGGGGCCCAGGAATCACCTGGATATAGAGCAGATTTCCCTCTGCCACTGCAGTGTCAGTTTACATGCCCACACTGTCTCTGTGGTTCCCTGTACAAGTATCAGATCTCAGAAAGAGCAGCCACTGCCCACCTCGGGCATGCTAACACCTAAGATCTGTTCAAGGCTTACTGACGGTCATGGGCATGGTTTTGTGGCCCACCACAAAAGCTTCTTCTTGTTGCATGGGCTTTGCATGGGCCACACAAACTGAGTGCTATTGTTTGCTGTTGAATTCATGTCCCAAGGAAAGTGCAGGATGGACTGGGTTGCCTGTGAACAGCCTTGCCACAAATAATTTGTGGGTTAGGTGGGGCAGTGTCTCAGTGAGACACAGGGCTGTCAAGCCTATACAGCACCAGATTTGCTGCCAGCTCTGAAACCACAGGCTCCCACAGACATCACATATCACTGCAAGACCTACTGCCATCTGGGATGGGCCCGCAAACCCTGTGATCTGCCCAAGCAATATCGTATCATGCTGGTAGCAGTGATCTCTTCCTCACTGTTTTCCCAGAAATTTGCTCACTGCGCTAACCGAAGTCTGTTGCCTGCACAGAATGCGCAACTCCAAACGGGCAGGGCAGAGGTAGCTGCTTGTCAACGGTCCTTGGGCACTTTGTAAATTGGATAGGGCAGGATTTCAGGGAGACAAGGGCCGTCAAGCCAGTACAGCCTCAGTTTTGCTGCAACTGCTGTGTCTGAGCATTGCCGCTGTAGTCACAGATCACTGCTGACATCTGGGGTGGTCCCGCAGACCCCTGCGACCCACCCACCCCAAATGATATTGCAGCTCTTGCAAGCAGCAGTGGTCTGCCCACACTGATTTCCCCTGAAATGCATACATAGCGCTAGCTGAGGTCTGCTACCTACACCAAATGTTGGGCCCTGGAAAAGGGCAGGATGGGGCAGCCGCCTGTTGACAAATTCGCCTCAGGCAATATAGGTTGGATAGAGCAGGCGATCTTGGGCCAGTGCACCTTCAGAATTGGCCATGCAGGGGGCGGATCTGCACAGACAAGCTGGCGATGGACTGTAGATCGCCTCATATGGGGTTCCCAAATAAGGCACAATGGCGACTGCCTGTATAGCCCTAGTTCCAGCGCCAGGTAATGCAGTCTTTCCCTGTGTGAATCTGGCCCAAGCCTCCGTTCCACATCCAGTGCCCTGGGTGAGTGTCCATGGGTGAGAGAGCCTGTGCGTCGGCCCTTTAAAGGGGCTTCTGGGATTTCACTCTCCTTCCATCTCACCCAGATGGCCAGAATCCCCTTTGATTTTTATAGTCAGATTTTTTGAGAACTCCTCTTCCCTGGGCTGGGGAGCCCCCATATCGGGCAAGGACTCCGCTCTTATAGGGGGCTCTCTGCTACCTGGCTCTCTGTCCCTATTCTCTCCTGCCACCTGTGGGTACAGGTCCAGCCCAATTTGTGACTTTGCCCTTCCTGCTGGCTTTGACGTAGCTCCTTCTTTATATTATCAGACATACGCATTATGCTCAGCTGGATTTCAGGTGATTCTCCACGTTATTTTAAAATTTGGTTATAATTTTAATGTGGACCTGACAGGAGGCGAATCCTGCTTTTACCTAGTCCACCATCCTCTCATAGATTTTTTAAAAAAATAATTACGAGCTGCCATTATTATTCTGAGGTTGAACTGTTCTTTTTCTTAAAGTTTCAGAAAATGATCAGAGCTTTGAGGTGACCATGACCGCAACCACAGAGGTGGCAGATGATGAGATTACTGAGGGTACTGTGACACAGATCCAGGTATAGTAAGTCTTTTTATTAGCTGCAAGAGGGCTCTCCTTGACATATACCTTAAGTAATAAAATGGCACAGACATGTTTGTCTGACAAAGTAGCAACCACAAAATTGAGGTAAGACTTATTACTTCATTCAGGTTTCTAAGTCCCCACATATATGAGTCTCAGAATTATAAGCAAAGTTAGTCTTTTAAATTTAATTCTCCGTAGAGTGGTTCACTTATTTTAAAACAGGTGATGCATGTGCTTCTTTATATGGAGTGATCTCACTTGAGCTGTTAAATGACTTTAAGTTTTATCTTTCCCATTATATTAGATATTGATTGGAATATAAAACTTTTTGAGATAGTTTTACCCAGCAGATATCTGTAGTAACTGATTTAGAAAGGCTATGTGTGTTTATTCTATATGACTGGAAGCTAGTCATTTCAAACAGGTTTTAGTTATAATAGTTGTAATTGTGGTAGTTCCTTTTGGTGCCTGTAGGACTATATACATTTTATGTGTTTAGAAGTTGGCTAATAATCAGCCTTACTGTTTTCCTCTTATGTGAACTTCTTTGTCAAGTTATTTCTGCCAAAAGTAATTGGAATTCTTTGCTCTTTTAGCCTGAAGCTTAAATCTATTTTACGTATAAATTTATCTCTGGCAGATTGTGCCTTTCTTTTTAGTAGCTTGTCCTTTTGCTTCATCTCTTTATTTAATAAAATATTTTTGAAGTAAACAGTGGAGACATTGTACCATTATTTTTCTTATGTGAAGCATCATAGCGACCCTTGTTCAGTTAAGTACAATAGTTATAAGTTGATTTATAACATCAAGGACTAAAGACATCTCAAGTAGGTGCACTGTCAACCTTCTCCGATAGGGAGCTTCAGAGTGGTTCCAGAGGACTGAGTCTGTGATATGCTCCACACAGCTTTGAGACAGGCTGGTGATGCTCATAATTTAACCTTGTATATCAATAGGTGATTTGGACAGGAATTTTTTCTAAGCCCTCTGAAGCAATAGAACACATCCTTTCTTTAAAATGGGGCTTGTCAAATTCACTTCAGGTTCAGACACTAGTTTCACTTCCATTTCATTTCAGCACAATAAAAATAACTGTATACATACATATGATTTGGTTTAAACCTAGTTATAACATTGAGCAGTAGCAATGTTAGACAAGTTCTAGGCTGTTTTGTTTGAGTTATTTCCAAAGAGTTAATGAGTTATAATTTAATACTAGCCTCTTGGTTTGTTATTACCATTTTAGTGAATAAAAAACTTTTAATAATTCCGAATATATGTTTAATGAGATTAACATTAAGTCATGAACAAAAGTCAGTGTAGTTAAAAGTTGAGAAATACTCTACTTTTTTGCTATCGTTTGGTGTTAAACCAGATGTAGCTATTTTACATAGTTTAGTAGTTAATGTACTGTGTCTCATTCTAGTAATGGGACTAGCTTGAAAGATAATTAGAAACTAAAGAAATTTCCAAATATATACAGTACTTTGTGGTTGCAACAGGTATTTGTTGGGTGAAATACTTATACTTCTAAGCCTGTATGTATTATAAACATGAAACTCTACAACTAATTTAAAAAACCAATAGCATATTAAATACTGAGTAATTTTAAAAGATTTATGCATAAAGTAGAGGAAAATGTAGGTAAAATACTATAAAACATTAATATCTACATTAAGTATAGATATCCTTCAATGTAGATAGTAATAAGTCTCTTGCTGTGTTCACTTAACTCGTTTGTTATTGACAGTGTTGAATATTACTGTTAAAATATAATTATTTGCTTCATTAGATAGCTATTTACATGTTTAACATTATATGACTTAAGTAATGATTGTAACTCTTCATCAGGAGAGTTTATGCCATAATGCATTAAATATTTGTCCAAAGATGGCAGTAATTCAGCATGACAGGTTTATTCCTAAGGTTCATAGAGTGCGCTTTGCTGTATAGTTAGACTCACTTTGAGAAATGGTGATTTAATACTTTTAACCAACTGATTAACATAAGAGAATATCATCTCAGGAGAGCATTTTCTACATTGTATTTCTTAAAAGTGGGTATTATATGTATAAAAGTCTTTTGATAGCTCTCTGAATCACCTTCAGTGTCAAATGTGATAGAATTATAATCTTCAGAATACAAGAGGCCTTAGACATCTATCTAATGTTTGTTTCGATTCTCAGCTTTATAATAGCCTCTTGGTCTTTAAAAGAAAAAAATCTAAAATGTATGACATGTAAATACAGGGTTATAAAACTTTTCATACTTGTTCAGTGATTTCTAGCTTTTTGCACGATTTTAAAAAATGCATTTATAAATACAATATATTCATTACCACTAGATATAAAAGTAAAGTAGGTGACAATAGAGATATGGTTTTTCCTCTCATTGTGCTTTGGTTGTTCAATGACAGCTTCTCTTCTTTCAAAGTGATACGGGTTTTATTTCCTCTTAAAGTTCGAATTCATTTTTTTTGCTTATTCCGTAAATAGTCCAGTCTTTGTTAGGATTACCTCTAGCCATTGACATAGCTTAGCAGTTGCTTCAGTCCAGCGACTGCACTGGGTTGAGAGATCACTAGGCATGTGACTCTCCCCTTATCCTGGTCTGCCTGTGATAGGCTCCTAGCTGATACGATAGCACTGTTAGCACATCTTCCTCACTTACACTGTAGCTCTGTTTAGCCCGCAGCCAACTCTTAAAAGCAGCTTTGTTCCTGCAAAATTTTCAAGATTAGGTATGTCTGTCATTAAAAATATACTCAGTGATAGTTGCATAAATATACTAAAAGGCACTGAATTGCATACTTTAAAGGCTAAATTTTATGGTATGTGAATTATGCCTCACTAAAGCTTATTTTTTAACTACACATTTCTCAGTAAAGACTGCTTTAGCTGCAATAATAATAATAATAGTACCATATTGTTATTTGAGAAGAAGTATATTAGTGAGGATAGGAATCAGCTCTAGAGGTTGGCCAAAACAAAATTGTCAGTAATCAATAAGCAGACCATGATTTTGGAGTAATGTCTTTTGATTTAGCCTGTTAATCCTTTAAATTTAACAAGAGATTACATTACATATGACTAGGCAGCAATTACATGTGAGGACATTAACAATCAGTCATAACACTCAGCCCCATAATTTCCATTTTAGAGCTCATTTTACATATACAAATATACAAATGGCTTTGGATACCCTATATTGATTTAAATACTTAATGGAATCTTAGCCAATATTCAATAAAATTCAAGTCACTGGTAGAGTTACTTGCTTAAATGAAGGTCGTATTTTATTAATGTAGATAATTTTGTTTTCATACTGCCATAATAAAAACGGCAAGAAAATATGTCTTTCTATAAATATTTTTTACTATATGTAAAATAATTAAATCCTATATTACTATATTAGAGTTTTATAATGGCTTCGCATTACAAAGAGAGAGGAATCAGGTTGGGTATTAAATTAAGTTGACTTTGTTTTTTAACTTTAAGATTCTACAGAATGAGCAACTAGATGAAATATCTCCTTTGGGTAATGAGGAAGTTTCAGCAGTTAGCCAAGCATGGTTTACAACTAAAGAAGATAAGGATTCTCTGACTAACAAAGGTAAGGTATACTGTGAATTTTAGTGTCCAATGGGAAAAAAAGGAGGTAAAAAGAGCCATAGTCATCAGGATTCTGAGTTGAACCTTTATAATTGTGATTAAGTAGTTACGGTAAGTGAGCTTTTCTAAATGAATTAAATGTAGCTCCACATGACTGAATGAAACTGTTAAACAAACGTTTGCTTTTCAATAATTGATCATTTTTCTGATATAAAGTAGATTTTGTCTTATTAATTTCTGAGCAAATGCAGTGGTGGCATTTAAAAGACAGTAGTTATTGCTTATGGGAATAGGAAGTCAAGTCTTTTCAAAGGTCTACTTGCTTTGGTCCGATAAGTGGCTTACAGGCTTACTGTCACAGTGTTTATAGTGCTGCTGTGTTCGTAAGGATTGCTAAGAAGCTGCTACAAGAAAATAGGGGTTGTGTATATGCCACTCTATAGTAAGGAAAGGAAGCAAAAGTAAGTAAACTGATTGTTTTTAACTACTGCGAATTCTCATTTAGAATATATTATTCATTTGCTATCTAGCGTATTGTGTTTATCTTGCCCTAGAATTTTTTGTACCTCTTGTTTTGCCCATAAAATTCATTTTTCATTGGATTTCCTCAGCACATTTGAGCTTTTCTAACATTTACATGTCTTTTTAGCAGTTCTATACTGCCGAAAGGATAAGAGGAGGTATGTTTTATCTTTAGCATTTTATTCCTCTAAGGAATAACATTTCTATAACATTGTTTTCTTTTAAAGGACACAAATGGAAGCAGGGGATGTGGTCCAAGGAAGAAATTGATATTTTGATGAACAATATTGAACGCTATCTGAAGGTATCTTATGACATATTTTTTTTGTTTCCGGACGAATTCGTTCACTGCCAATTGCAAAAAATACCAAAGCAGCATATTTATACTTAAGAGCTTTTCAATAATTTTTGTAATGGATAACTAGCTAAAGTTGCAGCTTAATAATTTTAAAATGTATGATTATATTTTTAAACAAATTTTGAATTTTCAGTTTTAAATAGCTCTACTGTTTTAATTAACCACCCTGAAGTTTAGACAAAAATCTTAATAGCTCCTCAGAACCTTAACGCCCTGCTTTTAAAGCAGCCTATAAATTAGAGTTTATTTTAGGTTTGTATTGTCTAAAGCAGCAGTCCCCAACCTTTTTGGCACCAGGGACCAGTGCTCCTATGAGAATCCAACACCTCATGATCTGAGGTGGAACTGAGGCGGTGATACTAGCACTGGGGAGCGGCTGCAAATACAGATGACACTTCACTCGCTCACCCACCACTCACTCATTCCTGCCGTTACCAGTCCACGGACTGTTACCGGTCCATGGCCTGGGGGTTGGGGACCCCTGTTCTAAAGCCTAAAGTGTGCATCTTCTTTGAATGAACATATGATATCCTATCCCTTCCCTTTAAAAAAAAAAAAAAGTCAAAAATTTAGTTCATTTTCATATTCAGGCTTATTTTCTGGTAATTTCGTCATCCCCTTTGTTAAATGCCTGTTGAACACAGTATTTTTGAGGCACTGGAAATACAACTTGCCTTAACATGATTTTGAAAAGCAACAATCCATTTGGGAATCCTAAAAACAGATAAAGAATGATACAAGGCTTTGTACCATGTGAGTGATACATGTTGTAAATTCTGCATGAGGTCAGAAGAGGGAGAGTTTATTCTCAGGTTTAGGAAAGTTGTGGAAAATATTTAGAAGAGCAAGAATTTAAGCTGATTCTTTAAAAAAGGGGTAGAACTTAGGCTAAAATAGAACTGGAGGGAACAACAGGAGTAAATGCCGAGCACCAAGGAATCAGAGTCAAACCCAGACCACATTAACTCCTTTAACTTGAACCAAAATAATTAGCCTACAGAAATTAGCATTTGAAGTCCATACTGAAGAATTAGAACTCTGCCCTACAGGAAATGAGAAAGACTAGTAGTACCTTAGTTAAGAGTGAGAGGTTGGCGAGTAAATCTGTGCTCTTCTCAGGGAAATCTTCAGAGGCTTGCTGTCCCAGAAATGGAGTTAGATTCAAATAGTGCATGTTCTAAATGTAGACCATTAGCAGTGTTTGGGAATGGGGAGGTGTACGGTATTTATTTAACTATTCTGCTATTGTTTGATACTTAGATTATTTATAATTTTTCACTATTATATATTGCTGCCTAGAATATCCACATTCTTAAGCTTAATTTTAAGCTACATCCTTTCCAAGCTAAGCTTCATAAACTATTAAGAGTTAAAAACCTTCATTCTTTCTTAACCGTTTCAAGAGTTAAATTCAGTGACCATTAAAAATGTATCCAGAAGTGTATTAAAGTTGGCCACTGGTCTCATAACACTTTAGTTAAAACTGGAAAGATGCATGGGTTTAGATAACGCAGTAATGAGTAAGAACACTGAACTTTGAGAAATAAGCAGCTGATTTCTTTTCTAGGGGATTGGAGATGATCTCCAAGGTCCCTTCCAGCTATTTGATTAAAGGGAATAAATACGATTAAAATTTGAGACTTTTTAGATGACCATTTTAGTTGACCAGGTGAGCATACCTAGAGGACTTTGTTAGTGGTGGAAATAGAATTGGCAGGGAAAGCAGATAAGCAAATAGTCTCTAAGGAAACCTGGTGACTGGATGTTGGGGGAGAAGGAAAATGGGGAGTTGTAATCACTTAAGAGTTTTCATTTTGGATGATTGGGAGACTGATGATAGGAGTGGCAGAAACAGGAAACAACCAAAAAGATGTACTGACCATGGAAAAAGATCATTTATACCCATCTCTTAATTTACACAGTATTTTTTTTACAAGAGTTTTTTGTATACAGTAAATACGCCTGCTCCCCCTTTAGACAGACTTGTTATATGCAGTTTACATTTGTGGGGTCTCATTTTACATGATTCTTTTCCATTTCCATTATTGGCTATTACTCTTTCTAAAAAACAGTGGCTTAACTTAGCAATGTATAGAGAACTAATACTAACACGCAACTATTAATGATCTTCCCATTAATTGGATGGCAAATAAAAAAGCAGGGGTGACTACTAATGTGTTTCGGGACTGGTTTTACAAATGTTTTTTTGTAGAAGCTGAAAATTATATGAAAGAAAAATGTCTTTCTTTTAAGATACTTTTAGATAATTAACTTGGTCATCCATACAATTAGAACATCCAAATATGAAAGTCGTATATTTGCCACCAAATAAAACTTTCTTGATCCAACCTTTAGATCAAGGCATTATTTCCACCTTTAAGGTTAATTATATGAAACAGTTTTAATGATATTTTTAATAAACTTGAAGATAATGAATCACAGTTACAGAAGGCTTGAATAAATACACAAATTTAAGTTGTATCAAGAATATTGCTTTAGCTTTGAGTGATGTAAAGCTGTCAATTTTAAATGCTTGCTGGAAAGCTATATGACCATTAGTGGTTGTACCAGGGAATACGGTTTCAACAACTAAAGAAGGATTAAGTGGCATTATTAATTGGCTTATTTTGGCTTATTTTTTTAGTGGTTTTTTTCCGTGCCGGTGGACTCTCTACATGGTTTTCTTCTGTGTAAAAACATGATATGTGGAATGGATATTCCGCATAAATCGAGGGACGATTGTATTTGGTTTTGATTTTTGATCATGGTTGTTATTACATGGTTCTCTTCTAAGAAGGAGCCTTTTGAAACTAATTAGATGTAATATGGGTAAAAGGATCAATGAAAATAACTGCTATGAGCAAAACAAAAAAATGCAGAACCTTTTTATCTTACTATATAGTCATTCCACAACACAGAGCTTTCCTTGCATGTAGGTAGGTGCCCAGTAAATATTTAGATTTAATTGTTTACAAAATTGAAATTGCATAAACAAAAGAATTTTAGAAAAGATTTTAAAATTTAGAAACTTTCTGCTGGTAAGTTATTATGGACTTCATACATTAAAAAGAGTATAAAATGTACATCAGTATAATTTTACCTGTTTTTGAAATTTATATAAATAAATTTCTATGGGTATTATGTAACTTTTGTTAGATATGATTTTGAAATTAATGCCCTGTTGATTTGTTTCGCTGTATTTCATTGTGCAGATATGTGCACTGTAAGTTACCCCTTTTATAGTGAATGATCATTTGGTTCGATTCCTTTTTTATTATTAATTTGTGCAAATCTGGTGAGTTTGAATGATATTTTATTATGGTTTTAATTTATATTTCTCTGATTACGTAGTTTTATATGCTTATTGGACATTTGTGTTTCCTCTTTCAAATTCCTGTTTGTGTCTTTCACCAATTTTTCTATGGGTTTTTTCTTTTGCTAGATGTTCTTAATGAATGCCGGATACTGATGGTTTTTTGGTTGTGTTACAGATATCTTGTCCCAATTTTGTGGCCTGTCATTTTCTTCTCTCTAGGTGACATCTGATGAAAAAAGATTCTTAATTTCAATATCAAAATTAATCCTCTTTTTAATATTTTGCATGTTTTTTAAAGAAATCCTCCCCTGCATCAAAAGGGCATGCAGATATTCGCATATAGTATTTTATAAAAGTTTTAGAGTTTTGCCTTTCACTCTGATTTCTTTTTCCTGTAAGTGTGAGATAGGATTTCAGTGTGTTGTTGTTTCTGTGTGGATGATAATCGTCACGGCATCATTATGGAATGTTAGTTTGTTCCCAATCTCCAGTGTCCATTCTGCCTGAGATCAGGCTTCCATGGATTCATTTTTAAATTTGTTCCCAAGTTTTGTTTGTTGATACCTGCATTAATACAGCACTATCTTCAGAAGTCCCAATATCTGATGGAGCAAGTCTCTTATTGAATTGTTCTTGGCCCTTTGCTCTTCAGTTGTAAATGTAGAATCAGCTTGCAGAGAATGAAAAACTCGTGGAATTTTTATTGGAATTGCATTGAATCTGTGTATCAGTTTGAGGAGAATTAACATCTTTACAAGATTCCATCTTCTTCCTAAGGAACATTGTTTAGTTTTCCATTTTAGCTAGTTCCTTTGTAATATCTTTCATTAGTTTTTTCCTCCATAAATGACTTGCATAACATGCCTAAGATTTAGTCCTAATGCTCTTAATTTTGATACTATTATAAATGAGAACTTTTTTATGAGCTTTGTATATAAATGCAAATGTCTATATATTGATTTTGTAAGCACTAACCTTGCTAAATACTGTTTTATTTTTAAATGAAATTTTTTCATAGATTTTTGGGTTTATAAATGTATATATATATGTATATATAGATGTCATTATCTGTAAATGATTCTTTTCCAATCTTTATACTTTTTATATATTTTTCTTTTATCATTTTACAAATCTAACTTGCTAGGAGTGTTGTCAAATGTGAATGTTGAATTTTACGCTCTTTCCACATTTATTGACATTTTACATTCTTTTCCATAAATATACTCACGTGACTAATTACAGTAATAATTTTTCTGAAATTAACGCAAACTTGTATTCCTGGAATGAGTTCACTTTTTGCATTGATTATTAACCTTTTTATACATTGCTGGGTTCAGCATGCTAAAATATTTTAAGGATTTGGGATATCTATGTTAACGAATGAGCTTGACTTGAAAATTATTTTCTGAAACTGCTTGTCTGCTTTTGCTATCGAGGTTATGCTAGCCTAGTAAAATGAATGAGAAAGTGCCCCCCCCCCTTTTTTTTTTAATCTTTGCTCTGGAATAGTTTAAAATCAGAATTATGTTTTTCTTGATTATTTGATAGTATTTACCTATAAAGTAGTCATCTGGGCCTGGGGTTTTCATTATAGGAAAATTATTAATAATTTATTAAATTTTCTTGACGGTCTATGCTTATTAGATATCTGAGTCAGTTTGGTAAGTTGACTTTTTCTAGGAATTCATTTTATATAAGTTTTCAAATTTATTGCCATAAAATTTTCATCATGTTCAGTTATCTAATCTCTGTAACATCTCTACTTAGGCCACATCTTTTCACTTCTAATGTTATCTTCCCCCCCCACCCATAAATTTATTTTTGTATTAGTCTCAATGGATCTTTTAAAGAAATAATTTTTAGCATTGCTTATGCTTTCTATTTTTTGTTTTCTGAATTTATTAATTTTGTTCTTATGACTTTCTTCCTCTACTTTCTTTAGATCTTAATATTTTATAATTTTAAAAGGGGTTAACAAAACTCAACTTTATTGAATTATATACAATTTATTTTTGGACCATTTAAGTATCACTTATCATGCAACATTTTGAAGTTTATATTTTACTTATTAATGAATTAGCAATACATTATTTTTGAAATGCCATTGATGATCTTTAATATTAAAAAAAAAAACTTTTAAAAAGCATAGTATATCCATAATGCATTTTATCATTAATCCCTAAATCAAAGAAATGTAACCCATTTAGGCACGCGGAATAAAAGATGCTACAGAAATCATCTTTGAGATGTCAAAAGACGAAAGAAAAGATTTCTACAGGACTATAGCATGGGGTCTGAACCGGCCTTTGTTTGCAGTTTATAGAAGAGTGCTCCGCATGTATGATGACAGAAACCATGTGGGAAAGTATGAAACCTTGTAATGCTGCATGATTTCATGTAATTAGGGGAAATACTTAAGGAACTACTTTTAAAAATAGTTGTGATCAAAGCCTTAATTGGAGACAGCTATTCTATGAATTGCTATTGAGTTATATTACTCCAGGTCTATGTTGTCAATATGGTGAAGCCTCGTTATAATAATGCCTCTTTTAGAAATTAGAATCTATTCCAAATCACTTTACATAGGTTTAAGACTTACTGACTTAATACATCAAAGTCTGCTTTGTAGTGAAGTACCATTATAAAAACTATCATAGTGGTTAAAGATTTAGGAATTGTGCAAAGAATTCTATAAATTGGTAACATTTTTCCTGTTCATTTTTATAGTATAGCATTTCCTAGTTCAGTGACTTTTTTTTAGTCCAAAGTAGAAAATAACTAAATTTCATAATATAATGCATGGATTTCTGTGATAGGTAACATGGGAAGGCATCATATTTTCAATGCAATGATTATATGGTGTTATTGACATATTTTTCTCTTTAGGAATCTGAGGTGGTAGTAGTATGACTAATTAGATACTGCTTTTAAGAAGAGCATTGCATTGACTATATCAAGTACCTCCTTACTTAAAAAAGAGAGCCTATGCATTGGAGCTACACTATGTCAGATGTCCACACGTAGATAGAGAAAATGAAGAGAATTTAAATTTTTCAGTGCTTTGTGAGAATTTACCATAGATTTTCTTTTTAGCTCTGGTTTACAGTGTCACCACTGAGTCATTCAGAATAGCTGTTAGAGTTCCTGAAACCTAACTTTGAAATAAGGAAAGAGGAAGCATAGGAGCAAATATGTCTTAATTGTTGAATTTTTTTAAAGAAGATCATAAAGTGCTCACTTTTCTTGTAGCTAATAGTATTTATTTTTTAAAAAGAAAATAGAAGCATTAATTTTTATTACTCTACTTTGAAATTGCTTACTTTAAAAATATTATCAATATGCTAAGTGACAACATTTGACTCTAAGTGAAATTCTGGTTTTTATTAAGATTTTTGGCATTCTTTGTTTTAATTGATCTTTTGTTTTAAATTTCTTTAAATTTCTAGATATACACCTGAAGAAATTGAAAAGCTCAAGGAGTAAGTTTAAAGACTTTTATTCATTAATCCTGATTGTTGGATTTTCATTTTTGTTTTTTTTTAATGTCTTGTGTTTTAAAAGTTTTACTTTGAAATGTCAAGAATTTTTGGTAGACTGGTATAATTTAATCCTGCTGTTAATGATTGACCATTAAAAGAATTTATCAGATCCATACCTGCACAGAGTAACCATGCCCATAAATTTAGTCTCCTCCTAGCGTCAGTTAATAAATAAAATGTGTCTTTACACCACTGTTAGGGGTTACAGAAGAGATCAAATATGGCCATTCTTGGTGGCCTGAAGTCTAAATTTGGGGAGCTTTTATACCAGGATCAAAACCAGGATTGTGCTACATGGCTTTAGTTAGAATGGTGACTTGGCAGTGTTTCACTTAATGCCCGGGCTAACTCTACTTTATAAAGGCTATTTCATAGGAAACACAATTTTGCTTCATTGAATTAGGACCTTATAGTGAGGATTAATGGATTATGTGGATCATGAAAATACTGAAGGTTGGCCCTATTTATGATAATAAGGACTCGTGAAACTTTTTCAGATATCTAAGAACTTGTTAGGAGTATTCAAAAGGGAAAAATCTGGGGATTGCCTGGGAGATTGTATCAGTAACCTGAGGGGAAATTTGGTCTTTTTTGAACACATATCCAAGTTACTTATTTCTTCTCTGACCCAGGAAAAAGGCAATTGCTGCCTGTTTTTTTTTTCACCCACAGACAACTGTGGACCCCAAAAAAGGCCACACTTTCAAACTTTGGCTCTCAAAGTATTGCTGCCCACAACTTCCAAACCAGTCAAATGGGAAGAAGAAGAATGAAGAATAAATGATGAAATTAAAAGGGAGAAAACAGTTGAACCAAATGCTGATTGGCAGACTCTTGTTTTAGGCTCCGGATAAAGCATGGCAATGACTGGGCAACAATAGGGGCGGCGCTAGGAAGAAGTGCATCTTCCGTCAAAGATCGGTGCCGACTGATGAAGGATACTTGCAACACAGGTACTGTGAGTGCTGCGGGTGGTGTTTTTTTTTTGGTCACCATTTGAACTTCCTGCCCCTTCAGATACCGCTTTCTCTTCTGTTCTGGAAAGAATTTGTAATTCAGTTTAGTTCAAATTTTTTCTAGTCTTTTTCTTCAAGGTGAATAGACCAACTAATCCTTTATTTTTGTGCTTTTGTGTAGTGACATTGTTCACAGAGACACAACATCTTGGTTTCAAAGGTTTTAGGTCTAGCTTGTTGCCATTTTGTAGCAATTCAGAACTGCTTCAGTTGGGAAAGTATTTATTTTTAAGGATTATATACAGGTATTTTTAAGGCAAATATACAGGAAGTAATTTTAATTTAAACTCATCTAACAGTTGAACTTTTGTTAACAACAGCCTATCAACTCATGTTTATGAAAAACTTTAGTTTGGCAGGTCCCAATTTAGGAAGAAGCTGTATTCCAAAGCTTTGTTTGTGCTTATTTTAAACTCAAAGCATGGAAAAAAACTGTGATTACTGTTTCCGTCCCCAGACCAGACCGCAAATGCCTATTTAACTCTTTTTGATTAGAAATGTACCAATGAATGTACTATTAAACCTAACTTTTATGACCAGCAATGGTATTTAGGCTCTGCCACTAAACTCTCACTTAACCTTTGTGAGCCTCAGTTTCCTCTGTAAAATAAAGATATTAGAGTAGGTGATCTCATAGTTAGTTCTCTTTTAGCCCTAATATTCTTTGAAGGCTCTACAGTCTATGATCAGTCTTTCAATAAGAAAAATAGTTCTCAAGTTAAGACTGAGTGTCCAGGAAAAATATTTTCTATCCTCACCCTCCAACCCTGCTAAAGTGGAATCAGTAATGTCTCCTGTTTAGCCACTCCACCAGCACTATTACCTCAAGGCAGTGAGGACATATATTCCACCAACTCTGTCATTCTG